CCCTTCAGCACCCAGCCTTGTACAACCAGGAGGGCTGGCCAAGGTTGTGACAGCCCTCCCAACCTTCAGCACCCAGCCTTGTACAACCAAGAGGGCTGGCCAAGGTTGTGGCTGCCTTCCAACCCCCCTCCACAACCTGCCCGACATTGGGGGTGCTCCCAACCTACCCCCAATGTGTCCTTTGGCCACCGGTGTACATATGTATGTATGCATGGGAGCGGCATCATTCACAAACAATGTTTCCTCATTTTGTGTGAGCTTCACAGATTCAACCCCAAGGAAGGGCGAAGGGTTCACAAACAATCTGGAAAGATTCACTCCGAAATGAATATTCGGAATGAAGGGCGAACGGTTCACACAGCGGAACTCCACTTTTTTTATGTACACACATAGCAATGTATGTTGTGATACCTTCCTGTATTCCTGACTGACTGCTATCTATTACTACCACCGCTTATTGCATCATCGGTGATCGGACAAATAAATGGGGACCAACCTCCTGCCTGCAAAGACACGGCAGTAGATCTTCGGCATTTAACAAATGGTGTCACGATCTATTTCTCTAGAACGTAAAGATTCAACGAATTCCAGGACTACAAAGCTCTCTTTAGGAAATCAATACAAAAACGTGCAGAATTTGCGTGGAACTTGCTCCATATGCGGTGTATTTTTTTTGTTTCTCACAGACTGCTGTTCGCTTGTAGTGAGTTCGTGTGTGCTGCAGCGGCGTCTTTCTTGCAAGTCCTCCTGCTGTCGTCCTGCTGCTGATTGATGCGACTGCTGTTCGCGTGTATGTCAGAGTGTGTGCGCTTTAGCGGCGTCTTTCTTGCAGGTCCTGCCGCTGCGTAAGACCACTCGCTCTTGTGTAGTCATACGGTGTTGCTGTTCGCGTGTACGTTAGTTTGTGTGTGCCTTAGACTAAATAGTGGCATATTTGCTGCAGGTCCTCCTCCTGCTGCTGTGACCGCTGTTCGCGCGTACGTTAATTCGTGTGTGTTTTAGCGGCGTCTTTGATGCAAGTCCTACTGCTACTGCTGCTGTAATCCGCTGCGTTGATCACAAACTCTCGCGAGGCCTTTTTTTGTGGCTAATGCGGCATCGTCACTCTACCGCATGCAAACGGGGTGCACGACACGCACGCATGACATGAATTGAGTGGTACCGCGTTGTTGATGGTGCCCTGTTGCGTGGCGATATGACCGAAGGTAGGTGTCTTCGGGGAAAAACAAGGGAATTATGTTGGTCAGCGGTAGGCAGCAGCATAGTCTACCCATGTACGGAAGTAGCATATTTTTTTTTATTTTTCTAATAATATGACATATTTCTGTTGCATTAGTCTAGTCGTGTTGCGTGTTATGAAGTTTTTTGTTCTTGACAGAAAAAACGGTCTGAACATGGTTGGGGATGAGAACAGCATCATGTAGGTCTGCCACAACGGAACAACGTTGTCATGGGCAGCGCGCTACGAAAGAGAGAAAAAGACGATTTTCGCCAACAAGCATCTCGACAACACATCGAGCACCTAAATGTGGCAAGAAGAGTCATGTTCAAAACAACACAAGTAGCAGTAGAAACAGCACCCAGCTCCATCGTATGCTCATCCGGCGTGCACTGCTGTGTATTAGCATCTTTGTATGATGAAACAACGCCCCAATCTCGGAGATCGGTGTTCAACATCTAGATGTTGCAGTGTCGCAGCCCAGATGTTGGAGATCCCAGTGGAGATCTCGGAGATTCCAGCGGGTGGCGGTGGTGGTGAAATAAGTTTTCTTTTGTTTGACCGTCCCCCGCTTGTTTTTCGTTCGGTGAAACTACTGTACGTACAATATCTTCAGGTTCTTGGTGCGCACCACCAGGCCCCCTCTTTCTCACACACACTCTCTCACCCTCTTTCACCCGCTTGCGGCACTCTCTCTACTTTCCCCTCTCTCTGCGGCTGCCACACACGTTCAAGAGAAGGTGCGTGCTACTGCTGCAAGAACGAAACTTGGGGTGCCAAGTGCTGACCTTTGGAGATGACTCCAAACGGCGCCAGTTCAACCGGCGATGCCCAGGCTAGCAACGCAGGTACGTACGAAGGGAACCAACTGCTGTGAAAGAGGTTGCATGTCGTTTGACAGCAGCTGTGTTACCGTGCACGCCGTGGGTTGGACCAGATCAGAGGGTTGCCTCCACCAAGTAATGTTGGGGTGAGGTGATGGGCAACATGCGCCGCATATTAAATCGACCGGCTCTGGATGGGCGAAGACTGGATCTTACTTTTTCGGATAAAACACGCACTGCGATGAGATGAGATGCACAGCCCTGGAAACATGTTGCCGTGCTCGTGCGGCTGCTGGATACACAGTAGTAGCACCATACGACTTCCTGTCTCCAGGTTGTCGAGCTCCCTCAGACACGTCTCGGTACCGCGTCCCTCTTCGCCACGTTTGCCCCGGGCCCCCTTGCACACAACAATTGTTCTGCGGAAGGTCTGAAGGGTTCCTCCTGGTCGAGATTTCACGGCAGGATCAACGAAGTGGCCAACAACTTCTTCTACCGCCTGGGGTACCGGGTGGCCACGAACCCCAAGCGGACCCTTCTCATCAGTCTTGCCTTCGTAGTGGCCTGCTGCTTCGGGTTCGCCAACTTCACCATCGAGGCCGACGGTGAGCGAAACCTTGACCACCTTTGGCATGTAGACAACGAAGTAACTATTTTGCCGCCATGAATACGTGGCGACCGGAGTCCGGGTCTTCCTGTGTTGTGTGGGGGTGTTCTCTTGTTGATAGTCGTCATCGTTGCTGGCGGCATCCTTATGCTGCTTGTGTGAGCTCTGGCCATCTGAGCTCGACTGCAACATTGCTGCCTGGATCATACTCTTACCGGCTTCTGAACGTGTACAGTAGTGTACCATGGTACAGGTCAAGCATACCAGAAGACTGAGGACGACCGTGTATCGACCCGGGGTTCTTTATTTGTATATACGTAGGTTATCTCGCCACAACATGTTACGGTGGAAAGACATTTGTTGAATGAACACCGGGTGAATGTATTAGGTAACTCGGCAAATTATGACACATTCACAAGCCCTTTATGCTACGCGGCACCCGATATGTTGTTTATGGTTCGTCTGTCAATGCTTAGTCGCGAACTTGCGCGATACCACCGTTAGAAAGTTTGCAACAATGGGTGGCAGAACCGGGTTTCTGGTAGCGGTGAAACTACATACCATTTATCCCCGCTTTTTTGTCATGTGGCCGTGGTGTTCATGATGTCTATTCCCGCTGACCCTCGCGCTAACGATGCCAACACCGACTACGCAAACAACGACAATGATGACGACGACAGGGGAAGACCTCTGGGTGCCAGCCGACTCCTTGGCCAGGGATCACCAGAGCATCGTCCTTGAAGACTTCGATGGCGGTGAAACAACCCTCCCCGGTAGTCAAGCATCCCCTTTGATCGGTCCTTGTTCCCGACACAAACACCATTCCATCTTCTCGGGTGCCCCGGTTGACTCACAAAAGAAGGCCACCAGTGTTTCATGTGTCGTCCCATCTGTCGTTATATTCCTAGTCTAACGCCTGGTGGTTGACGGTACCTGCACTTCCGCCCATTCCTTGCCTAGCCAACAATACCACACCGACCCAATTCCACCCGGTTATACCGACTTTTTGGTGGTGATCTGTGCTCAGCAATGGCGTGCCCCCTGTCACGGAACATGCCCCACATCTTGTTTGTTTGTTTTTCCGCATTATGCACCAACCATCCCCGTTACTACCGCGCTAAACCATCCTTGAACGCAATGCGCCATGCCGTTCAGACGGTGAGTTTGCATCCTTTCTGGTGGAGAGCCCGTCGGAAACGGGCAGCGTGCTGACTAAGGAATCGGTCGATGCGATATGGGAGCTGGATGCGATCGTCAGGGCCGTCGAGGTAGAAACAGCCCTGGAAATTGTCGATGTTGCTGTTATTGTCATCGTTGTCGTTGTCATTATATTGGTGTTTTCTGTCTTGAATGTTGTTCTCAGTTGATCGCAACATCCCACATACATGTACACACCCCGCGTTTTTTCACATCGTAACAACAGGGTGGCCGTGCTTGCCTTATATCCCCCAACGTGTTGGTGTGCTGAAGGTTGGTGGCAACACATACGCCGACGTGTGCGGAAAAGAACTGGACGGTGTGACGTGCGAACCGGTGTTCCGTGGGATCACTCGTTTCTGGGGAGATTTCGCAACCTACGAGGTAACTATCGCTAAACCGTTTCTTGGTCGGGCATCGCGAGGGTTTATGCCACTTTCTTGTCCATGTGATGGCCGCCTTCTGTGTTTCAATAGATCCGCAAGTGGTTCTGAAGCTCTGTGCGTGCCTTTGAACATTTTCAAGGGTGTTTCTAACGATGGAATGACGAGCGCAACGAAATATTCGTGCCGTATCATGCAGTCTTGCGGGGGTCACGTGGTTGCTGCGGAGGTAGGCTGTACCCATTTCTCTCATCGCCCTCGCGCTACACATCAATAGACCAGTGCACCAGAGGCGCACTTGCACCGTGCTGCGCCTTTGCCTTCTGCTCCTCTACGAACTGCGCTCTATGCTGCTTCTTTCGGCGCACACACTTAGGTTCTCCAGCCCACTTGCACCTTCCACCCCATCGCGCCGTTGTCTGCGTGCCCCGTCTTCCGCAACCCATTCGTAAGGCCTCCGTAACAAGCGATGCGGATATCCTTGCGACCGTGAACGTGGCCACCTTTCCGGACGGATCGACCGTTAACCAACAGGCCCTCTTCGGCAACGGGATCACCTACGACGATGATGGCAACATCTCCGGAGCAAGAGCGACCATCCAGGTGACCGAGCGCGTCCTGTCGCGATGATGATACTTACTGACACAACTGCTGGATCAGTTTGGGCAAAAGTAGCTTCGGAAGGACACCACCCTTCGTGTGAAGTGTGACGTATCTCTGGTCAAAGCCAGACAATAAACCCAACGATGACGACACAGACATGGAATGCCCTTGCCACAGCGATGTCGTCTGGTCCGGCGTTGGCTCCGACTGATGGCTAGTTTTTTCCTTTGCCGACGAGACGGGAATGACGTCCTTCCGCTTCTCCCTCTTCTTGCTTGGATGCCGTGCTCTTTCGGTTCACTCGAACAGCGATAGTAGTGTCCATGATGTTGTTTCGCGTTCTAACAACAAGTTTCACTGCATTGTTATGAAACCGCCGTTTCTCTAGGGGTTTGCGCTCGATTCTGATCCTGACGATGGCGCGGACATCAACGAGGACGTTTTCGACTGGAACGAGGCCTTTCAGGTAAGACCTCACAGAGTTCTGCTGTCAAGGCGCTCCGTGGAACGGGTAGTGCCATGAACCTGTTGTTTTGTTACCCATACCGTGTAGGGAGGACCCGATTCCCAAGGTATTGGTCGAATGACTGTACCTATTTTCGGTACGGCCTTTTCATGTGGTATCCCGAGACCGAAAAATTGTACGCTAGTACCGATGGCGAATTCGCCACTTTCCGAAAGTGGCTCTTTCCCAATGGGAAGGGTGCCAAAAGGTTAATCTCGTCTTGGTTCCTGTCCCCTGTCGTCACTGTCTAGAAGAACATGGCATGTGCTGCAAGCGGTACCAGTTTTGTCAAATGATGGTTGTTGTTTTGTCTCTGTCTCTCTCCGCTGTGTTTTGCCGTCTTCGACGTTTCGTTGATTGTTGTCGTTTCTTTCCAGGACGCTATGGACGAAGCAGCGAATAACTTTGATGTTTTCGACGTGTTCTATCTCACCAGCCGGTCTACCGACGACGCCCTCAACGAGTCCGTAACCGGCGAAATGTTTCTCTTCATCATCACCTGTGAGGAGATAGTCACGTCTTATAAATGGCTTTCTAAAAACTTCTCGCAGCCCAGTTTCGCTGCGGACGCCATCGCTCTACGTGCTTGCAAGTCATATTTTGGGCGGGGGGATACTTTAGCCTTGTTATTTGCCGTGCATCAGATGTTCCATCGGCGTTAGCGTATTCACTAATGTTCTTCGTGTGTTGAAGTTTGACGGGCCTTTCTCTCAGGTATTTGACCAGTAGGTACACGCGGATGACATCCTTGCTTCCTTGTTGTGTTGCTGAGCGTCCCTTCCACACTTCTCTTGGTGCGTTGCGTTGCAGACGTTCTGATGATCGCGGTCGTGTCGGTGGCGCTCGGCCGGTGCTGCAGCGGACCCGTCAAGCGCCGGAGCTGGTTGGGGGTCGGCGGGACCGTGCTCGTCGCTGCCGCCGGCTTGGCCGCCTACGGGCTCAACAGCGGCTTCCGTGAGTTAGCGCCCACCATCACAACCTTGTTGACATGTGGACGACTTGATTTGTTGAAGTGGTGACCCGAAAGGCAGCGCCCAGTTGTTTGTACTTGCTTGTGCTCTTGTTCTTGTCTCCTCTCTGACCCTTCTGACCCATCCGTGTGCCTCTCTTTGGGGTCTGCCCGTGAATTATCTGCTTGCCTGCCTGTCTGTACGTTTACGTCCGGACTTTCTTCCACGGAACGATGACGACCACACGCTCTCGCAGACATCCCCTTCACGTCGCTGTCGCAGATCCTCCCTTTCATCCTCATCGGAATCGGCGTGGATGACATGGTAAGCGCGCAGGCGGGTAGCCGGGTAGGCCCTAGTGCTATGGACGAGGGAGATCTGCTTTCGTATGTGCCGGTTTTGTTTTCGGTAGAGGCTCTGTAACCTCTCTTGCAGCTTTTTGGTTTTTGCTATAGGTTTGTCATTCTACCTTTCTTTGTGGGCGGTCTCTCTCTCTCTCTATATATATATATATCCCTCCCTCTCTCTCCCTCTCCCCCCCTCTCTCTCTCACCGCCCCCTCCCTACCTCTGCCCACAGTTTGTTATCGTCGCAGCCTACGACCACACCGATCCCTCGCTCGCCGTGGAGGAACGGATCGCCCTCGGAGTCAAGCGCTGCGGGGTGTCCGTCACCTGTGAGTTGGACTATATTGTACAACAGCGATTTTTTGTACGGTAGCTGTAGATTGATTCAAACGACCGTGTATCTTTTTCCAACGGTAGGGTGCGACCACCCTCGACGTTGCACGTTGTCCACAACTAGAAACGTTTTCCCTGCGGCGTCCAGCAACATAGTACGGCTACCCTCTGCGAGTGTACTTGGTTTCCAGAGCAATCCCGCCTTCCTTTGTGTTCCCGAGACATATCTCAAAGCGTGGGCAGTGCTTCTTTGACGGGTGTTGATACCCACACGTGAACGCCGCGTGTTCATTACTTGTGCAACGGCCACCTTATGCGCCGCTTTGTTGTTGGTTTTGGACCTGCCTCATGAATTGCAGCCGCGTTCCCGCTCTTTCGTTTCGCAGACACGTCGCTGACGAACTTCTTCGCCTTTCTCCTGGGCAGCATGACGTCCCTTCCTGCGGTGGAGTACTTCTGCCTCTACGCCGCCACTGCCATCTTGTTTGACTTCTTCCTCCAGGCAAGAAACAACAATCGTGGAAAGAGCCACACAATCTGTATAGCATTGGTAGCACAGGCATTACCCTCGTTGCTCTTTCTACCACGGTATTTTGCTCGTGATACGTGCAGCAAGAAGTAGGCTAGCTCTCGCACTATACGCAGCAAGGCACACGGTCGCTTGTGGAGTTGGGTCATGCGAACGAAGCGCTCTTCCTCGTCGCAAATTGTTCTAGCCCCCCCACACACACGTGTTTCACGTCGAGTATCGATTTTTTCCATGCTTTCGAAGGCAAAGGTTTTTTTGGGACTGCTAGAAGTGCGACCTAGCTAGTCCCCCCGCGCACACGCATTCCTTGTCGAGTATCGCGTGTTGCGTGTGTTTGAAGGCGAAGGCCTTCGAGGGGCCGCTAGTACTGTAGAATAAACCTCACTCTTTGAGCCCGAACCCCCACTTCTTGTTGTCCAGATGACAGCTTTCGTGGCGCTGCTGACCATGGACGCCAACCGCCAGAAGGCCGGCAAGATCGACTGCTGCTGCTGCCTCACCAGCAAGAAGTATCTCCAGGAGCAAGAGCGGCAGCACCAGGTAGGTGTGCATGGGCATATGGAGATGGCCGTGGAGGCCCGTTTCCGGCGTTAGCGAAGTCGCGACCCTATCTGTCGGCCCCCCTGGCAGCCGCTGGTTGACAGCAGGCTGTCGACTTTTTTGTTCACAAACTGTTTCGAAATGTCGCTTTAACTCGTCCTGAGTCCAGCATGACGACGGTTGCCGTCGTTCTATTTCATACATATGTGCGTTCGTCCCATCTGCTCTGGCGTCAGTCTGCGCACTCAGCTATCGATATACCGTACGCTAGGGCCACACAGGACGAAGGGCGGTCGCCCAGGAAGGTTCTTCGTTTTTTTCCGGGCATCTTACAATAATAAAATAGACAGGGAGTATTACGTTCTGACGTCTCCACCTCCATAATCTCTCGGGAACCCCTTCGGTTTAGGAGGGCATCCAAAGAGGAGTCACACTGCCTAATAGCAACGGCGAGAGCGCATTCAATGCCCAAGGGAAACACGACCTCAAGGCGGAGGTGCACCAGATATCGCCCATGGGAAGGTGCGTTATCATGGATTTCCGTTCATTTCCCGATCGGTTGTGATCCTTGTAAATATTTGCCATGCCGGCCGACCTTGTGCACTCTCTCTCCCGTCTTTCTTGTCACTGCCGGTTGAACTCAGCGTTTGGCGCATCGCGGTGTTAATTGGTCAGATATTGGCATTGGTTTTCATGATTTTATTTATCTGCTTCCTGCCGCTGCTTCGAACACATTAGTCGTGTCGGCAGCCATTTTTCACGCTACTCGTTCGGCCACCCACCCCGTGTATATGGATATTCTCGCTGCAACTTCAACCAATAATAGTGTCGGTACCACCACCAGGCAACACCGCCCCCTTTTCCCCTCGTTGCAACTTACTTTCCCTGTTGCGTGGTTTGTTGTGTTTTTTTTTGCGTGGCTGGTAGGTTCATGAAAGACAAGTGCTCCCCTTTCGTTCTGTCAGCGAAGGGGAAGGCTCTGGTGCTACTCGGCTCGGCAGGGCTGCTAGCCGCCGGCATCTATGGCGTCACGCAGGTACTGATCGTGTTGACCATCGACCGTTCTAACGGATTTTCAAGTGAAAAGGCGCCAGTTTGCAAACGGGTACAGTTATTGTGTTTCTTGTGTGTTGCCTGGTGCTTTTGACACCTCTTCTGTGCCTAAGTTCAGAAGTCCGCACCCCAGTTCATGTATTTTCCGGACTGCCTGTCTGTCGCGGCCGTTTTTTGCTTGTAGCACACGAGGTTGCAAAAAGAAGAACCCAATCGAACCGTGGTACCTCTATTGCAAAGTTATGAGAAATCTCGCAATTTGGGCGAAGTTTTCGTTTCTTCCGGATCCTGAGAAGTAGTACAAAACCAATTTCAGCACTTCTTATCGTTGCCAAGACCAAGAGAGTTTAAACATAGTGCCATAGAAACCAATTGCTGCGGCCATCACGTGATTGGATTGTGTCTCGTTGTTTGTTCCTATTGTATGTTGGTGCCCTTTGCAACCGACAGGCGACGCAAGGCTTCGACGTCCTCGATCTTGCTCCAGACGGCCACTACTCAATAGAATGTGAGTGCTCGTCTACAGTGCACTACCTGATAGTTGCTTTGGCTGCTACGTTCTTCATGAGTGTTTATTGCGCTATGGGACTTTGCCTTTGCCTAGTGTTTTCGAAGCACTGTGTGTGTATGTACACCCTGCTAAAGCCTCTCGGCTGCCTGCGACAGTTGAAAGGGAGGAAGCGGTTAGTGTGCCGCACGACGGCGGAACCGTCAACGTGACCACTTTTCCATTACTGCCGTACTGTTACCGTACCACGACAGACACGGAACGGTCGAGGAAATATGACTTCGATATCCAGGAGTGGTACGTCCCGATGGATGTCTACACCCAGGAGGTGGACTATCCCGACGTTGCTGTTCAGGTGGGGTGATCTCCCGATTCACGAGCACGGCAAAGTCAAGAGTTCATAAAGAAACGTTACAGTTGACAGTTTCGTAGAGAGTGAGGAGGGAGAGAAGGTCTTCCTCTTTGCGAGGCTCGTGAACCAAGCTATTGTTTTTTTTGTTTCCGCACACAGGCGGAGATGCAGTCCGTCGATGAGGAAATGCTCGAGCTGAAGAACGTCGCCGCACCGCTGGACTCTTGGCTCGTCTCCTTCATCGTGTGGGCAGAGGTCAACACCACCTACAGGTGTGTGTGTGTGCCAATATCATTGGCGCCGACCGCGCTGGCCGGCTGACGGGTATGCGTGTATGCGTTCCTTGGTTGTGCATCGACTGCGGCAGCCGGTTGCTTGGTGCAATACATGCATGCGAGTCCGTTCAAGTAGAATATGGACAAGGTGTGTATGTGTAGATGTCATTTTTGTTTTTCTTTGACAAACGTCATGCGACTGTCTTGGAATAGTATGTCGGCGTTCGCCCGTGTGTGTTTGATGTCTCTACCGCTTGTGCCGATCTAGCAGCAGCTGAACATGTTTCGTAATTCTTAGTTCTGTTGGCGGTCCCGCCAATATCTAGAACGGGCTTTGGTTCCACGTACGAGATAGATAGGTAACCAAGCACCGAGGCCGATCTCAGGATATGGCAACATAAAGCTCTCGGAAACACATTCATTTCGCCGCGGAACAATTGTAAGGCGTGACTCGGCACCGCAATAGAAGATGCTCGTTTGGACAGTGCATATAGTGCTATCGATTGTCGTGTTTTGTGGGTAGTTGGTTCTCGAAACATCAACAACAGCAACCCTAGCTAATCATGACTGCCTCATACCGTCACAACTCGGTCGCTAGTCCGTCGCTACCGTCACCGCTTCAAACCACCGTCGAATCTCATCTCCCGTCCCGCCCCTCATCGACTGCAACGATGGCCGGTCAAAACAATATCGTCAGCATCATCTCCCCTCAAATAGATACCCACTCGGCTCCACCGCCGCCAATGTCGGCCCCATCCCCGCTGCTGCCACCTTTTTCCTGACATATTTGTATCACTTGACATGACAGTGCAAACATAGGTACATCTGGGGGCTACCCGGTGTACGACGATCGGGACACCTTTTACACTGCTCTCTCCGCCTTCCTGGCTGATGAGGATAACGCCAGATTCTTGGCAGACGTAGTCTTTGACGACGAGGGAATAATCAAGGTGCAGTTCCGTAGAGCTTGTCGGTGTCAACTTTCGCCTTCAGCGTCGACCAACGGTAATTTTTCAAGGGTAGTCTGCCTTGACGCATTCGCAAACTGTAAGGTCGAAAAACAAAAGCGGTCATCGCACAAACGAGTTTGTCGGAAACGTTGCAGGTAATAACATGAAGGGTTCCAAAATGGTTTTCACAAGGCCGATATTCTCTCGATTCTTTAACCCTGCCGGCCGGATCTGCATCTGAAAATCTCCCCCCCCCTTTACCTTAGATAAATCGGGCGTGCCGTCCCCCGATATGTCACAGATAAGTCGATCGGAGATGTACCTGATCAATCTCGTCGACACGGACAAAAACGTGGACGTCCTCAGGGATACCAGAGAAGTCGCCGACCAATCAACGCTCGACCCTCAGCCGTTCGCATACTCCGCGGTACGTTATTTTCACGCGGGAGTCGCGGGTTGTTGCCATGGGGTGTGCCGTAGACCGTGCATAGTAGTGTGCAGTCATTCCGGAACGATGGAAGTGACGGCCAAATCAACCCGCTTGGAATCTTGGCTCCAGACGTCTCTCACGAGAATGGGGGAAGATTTCGTTTTCACTATTTTCCCACTGCAGGCATCATTTTCCAACCAAGTGACGGCGGCCAACCAACGCAGACCAGCAGCCCTAACTTCGACAGTGAACCTCCATCGGCCGGCTCCAACAGGTGTTTCTCTTCTCCGAGCAGTACGTGGTGATCTACAACGAGCTGCTGTCGAGCTTCGGCCTCGCCTTGTTGGCGGTGCTCGTCCTGAGCCTGTTCGTGCTGGGCAAGGTCACCGTCGTCCTCCTTGTTTGCGTCACCTTGGTGGGTAATCGGAGAAAGCAGGCTTGGAAGTTGGGAAAGCAACACGTTTCGGCCTGAACGGTGATACTGAGCAGTACCTGTTTCGGAGTGAATATCAGCACGACGTTTTGTTCTTGGGGCTCTGGGGTGAACGCTGCAGCCGCTTCATCCCACTGACACTGCTCCATCGAGAACCACGATATCGTGGAGCCATTCCAAATGGTTGGGGAATTAGCTGTGTGTCTTCCTCCCAGTAGTTTTCCTTGGTACGACGAAGACAGCATGCAGTCGCTATCGAGCGTGAAGACCAGCCTAATGTTTGAAATGCTGCACGTTTTCGGTGTTACTGCTTGGTTTTTTCTCTTTCGCTCAGATAATCATCGATGTTGAACTGCTGGGCTTCGTCTACCATTGGAATTTGGACGTGAACAGCATCACTGTGATCGGTGAGTTTTCGTTGGTATATCTCCTCCTCGTTCTTTAATGTTTTTTTCTTTTGGTGCAAGTACTGCTTCTGATACTGCATTCGTCGCAAATTTTGTTCAAGACGTTATTGTTGCTGCCGCTGAAACAATCAACCCCGCGCATACGACATGTTCAGTGTGTACTCGTTCCCCACCTACTGGCATGTTGACCACGAACAACGCAACGACAAGCACGGTTTGGGGAATTGCGCCGGGGCAATCGGCTAGTGGGCTCTCCGACGTCTGGGCAACAGGTCGAAATTGACCTTGAGGTATTGCTGTCTGTGCCTACCGATCTGTCGCATCTTCTGCGTTGCTGCCTTTTCTCCCCCTCAGAGCTGATCATGGCCGTCGGGTTGGTGGTGGAGTACATGGTCCACATCGTGCACTACTTCCTCCACCAGGTAAATGGTAGGACGTGTACGCCGTCTGCCGCTACTCAGCGTCGCTCTTGGTGCAATACGTTAGTGACGGTGTCTGCCAGAAACGACGCCTCGCTCCGAGTGCTGCGTGTCTCGGACGATGAGTGTCACTCTGGTCTACCAGATGTCTAAAGGTAGCAAGAAGAACCCGAACACGCCCCTCTTCTCCACGCTTGCACCCAAGGAGCCCGGATCTACGCCCAAGTGCTACGGCCACGGACGCCACACCACCCTACCCTTTGCCAGCTTTAGTCCGGTATTGTGAGGGGCCTTGCGAAGGTTAACGGACGGCATGGAGCAGCTATCCACCCACTCCCCGATTTGCTCTCTCTCTCTCCCTCTCCATCTTTCGCCCTCTCATTGTTTTTTTAGGACCCCAGCATCCCGAAGGACGCGCGAATCGCCGAAGCTCTGGGGGAGATCGGGCCCTCGGTAATGGTGGGAGCGGCGACAACATTCCTGGGAATCATGCCCCTGGCGTTCGCCAACAACGTGATCTTCCGCGTGTTCTTCAAGATGTTCCTCGTCATCATTTCCTTCGGGGTATGTTGCTATAGGTTTCGCGTATCATGGCTTTATTCTTGCCATCCATCCATGCGGTAGCATGTAGTACATCAGCACAGGTTTCCGTTCAGGGAAGTGTGTAGGCGTGTCCGACCCATCTATTCTGGCGTGCCAGCATGCACGCGTTTGGTTGTTTGTCTTTGACGCACCGACCGGGGTCACACTGGAGGAAGTCCACACGCGGGTGTTCTTCTTATTCTGGATGGAAATCGGCGGCATGTGACTGATGTTGAGAATGCAAAATGCAACGATCGGGTCTTTCGTACGTCGCCTCGCTTTGGCTGGTTGAGTGTCGGACCCTTCTTCCTCAATTCCCTTGTGCACACTTGACATCCGTTTTCAAATCTGTCATGTTTCTTACCCCCCCGCGCTTCGTAACGCCGCCTTTTCTCTGCAGTTTTTCCACGGTGTGGTTTTCATCCCGGTCTTGTTGTCGATGTTGCCCGACCGCCTGGTTTCACACTCCGGCCACGAAGAGGGTACGGCATCTATCACAAGACACACCGGGAGCAAGAAGGTACAACCTACTATTACTAATATGATTTGTTGACTGTGACCACTCTTATACAAACAATGTTATTTTTTGGGGGCGCTTTTGGAGTGGTCTTGTTGACGTCCATGCGTGGCTGCTGTGTCTGCTGCTAGCGTCACGCCCAAAGCCTAACTTGCTGCAGTTGGGTGCGCAATTCATGACGAACTGACTCCCTATCTCCCCCCCCCCCCCGATAATTCGACCGTGGTCCGTCCAACAGGTTGTGGTGTTAGAAGGACCAATGCCTGTTGAAACCACCGACTAATTGAGCACGCTCGTGGAACATGAAGGTCCATCCACGTGCTCACGATGAAGACGACGGCATATTCCTGCCAAACTGGCTCTGTCCCATGGCCTGCAGAGCAGGAACAAGCGGAAGATGCGCGGAGACGATGCTGTTCCGTACGGCGCGCTTCTGCACCCCTATGGCGGGTATTTTGCGTTTCGGAAGCGCGAGGACCCTGTCTGTTCCCTTGGTCTTAGGGTGTAAAAGCGGTGAACGCGTGGATGCGTACGTGTGATGCAACCCCTCGTTTTGAGAAAAACGTTCCGCATTTGCTTTCGTTGTCGGTCTCCGTTCAACGATGGCGGTGAAGCCACGTGTGATAAGCGCCAAATACTCTGGGGGTACGAAGGGCAGGGTGGGGGGGGCGTCGTTGTCTATTTCCTCATATTTGTTGTCGTCATCCATGCGTGTGTGCGTTTCCAGTCAAGTGCTGTTGGCGGGTACACCGTATGAGCGGGTAAGGACCCGGGCCTTCTGCCCTGTATGAGGTGTTCTTGTTGGCCGTGCTGTGAGGTGTTTGTTGCATGTTTTGTTCAGTGTGGCCTAGACTTTATGGTCTGTGCATCATCGTTTTATTCTTCTAGGTACTCCATTCTAACAAGGCAAGGGCACTTTGATCGTGTTGAGACCCTACTTGTGTGTGTGTGATTTCTTTGTCATGGGGAAGAACGAAGGAATGCGGGGTATGGGGCGCTATGGTTAGTGCGTGCGTGTGTGTGTACTTGGGCATGTTTGTGATGTCACGCCTCTCTCTGGGGAGGAAGGTCGGCCGACGAGCTCATTCGTGCGCACCAGGCAGGGAGGAAACTTCAACTTCTGCACCGGGCGGGCGTATGCGCTTGGTTTCAGCCTGTTTCGTAGCGAACGCTCCATCGCTAATGCATACGAAAGGGGTGCACGACACACATGGTAGGAGTGAGAGGTGCCGCGCTGATGTGCCCTGTTGATCGCGTCGTATGTGGCGATTCCACCGAAGGCGTCGGTAAAATAGAGACGTTTCCTGGTCGAAAAGGCAGAAGAATACCTGTGTTTATTGTGAAACGGCAATAGTTGAAGTTTTTGCCACAGGTCAGCGCCAACAGGTACTTATGAACCGCCGTAGGTTTGGTCGAGGCTGGGGTTCTTAGTTCCTAGGAAATAGCCCCTAGTCTATATACTGTACCAGGTTTTAGTGTAGGGGGTCTCAACCGGGCTCCAAACTGTAGCTCTAGGTCGAAGATCTTGGATTGCTCGAGGCTATATGTGCTTTCGTGCGGGCGCTACCTGTATGCGTATGCCCTAGGTAAAAGCAGTGTGTACAGTGGGCTATGTTATTGGATATTTCAATGAAAAAACATTCTCCCCATGCACATTCGATCTACGTCACACGATACACGACAGTATCCCCTGACGGCATGCGGTAGACGGCTGCTCCTGCGAATCTTCTGGCAACCCTTGGCGATCGTTCACATGGGAGTCGGCATCCCACCTTTCTCTCCTGATCACTGATTGAGCTGAGTTTCAAAGAGACCGGTTCGAAGAACAACCAGAATACCAACCCAGATCCGTGACCAATTGAGTGATTACCCCGCTGGCAGGTTCTGGCGGAAGAAGGCGTTTCACAGAACATCCGGACGAATGCCTTGGGAAGCCGACGTCAATAATGCCCCAAACATCTCCAGAAACGGCAGGCATACAAAGCCACATCAGCCCGGTTGTTGTGGTGATATCGGTGGTTGTATTTCCCGGGAAGACGTCTTCGCCAGTTCAGCTTCGGGATGTTCGCCGGGACAAGAAAGAGCTAGATTGACGCTGTGACCCTAACCCTAAGTTCCAAGGCAAGAGCGCGATCGAACGCCTCTTGGAGTCGCGTATTGTTGTGATCGTGAATAATCTTATTAGCAACCAAGCACAGGCGTTCTATCGCGTTGATAGACGCATACATACGTCAAGATTCTCTTCCACATCTACCCCTTGAGCCTGTCGAACCACTTTCAGGCACAGAACGAAATAGTAACAGGTTTGGACGGAGCAGTGTTGCGCCCCCTCCCCCTGAGAACGTTGCTGCTGGGTTACTTTAGGATTTCTACCGAGACCCCCGTCCCTCCTCCAGACCGTAGAGTTTGCCCTTTGTCGGGTACTCTTTGTATGAGCGAATGACGAGCCCCTGACCGCTCTGGTCACCTCAACATATTGCAGGCAACGGTATCTGAACCAAACGTCGGCAGTTCACACGGGGGGCCCTGTACGTCAACAATACACTCCGAAGTCAGCCCAGAAAACATACATGTCCAATCCTCGGCTCCGAGTTTTCGACTTGGAGCACGTTGCAAGGGTGAAAAAGCACGATCCGTCGAGTTCGAGGCCACCAACCACTACAGTAGCCTATTATAACACGGAATGTTGCCGCATGTGCAGGACGTGACAATTCTAGTTTCAGCGATATCGCCGACAACGGTTCGACACCGATGATGGCATGTGCTTCGAGAATTGCCGAAACGAGCAGGTCAGCGTTGTCGAAAAGCTTCCGCATAATCAGTACCATGAGCTACTGCTCGCAGAAATATCAACAATCCTCCAGCAACCGTCACCACCGCAACCATACCCACCCGTTACTAACACGACGACGATGGACGACGACCATCAGTACCTAAATACATCAGAACACGAAACCCAATTCCAACACACCCTACAACCGACTAATATGTTGCAGGAGATCAAGAACGTTGAGTGGGTCACGTGCGGTCGGCTTCCACGACCGCTTCCGTGAGGCTCGGCTTCGACCGCAACAACCACATAGATGGGCATGGGATCAAGCTTGATCCACTCTCGACAGGAGACAAGAACACGACCATAGCATGCTGATTCCTGTCACCGGGAGAGGGTGTCCTCGGTGGGTTGTGTTTGATGCATTGGTCATCTCGTGGTTGCGGTCAAGACTGGACCGCACGGAAGCGGTCATGAAGGCAAGCCGCACATGGCCCGTTCAACTATCTTCACCTCCTGCAACAATATGGTTGGTGAATTCGCCGCCTTCGGCGTGTTTTTGATGGCAGATACTTGCCGCCGTCGGAAGGCGGTGGAACAGCTGGCCGTTGTCGTCGCCGTCGTCATTGTCGGGATTGCGGAGGGGGTATTGCTGTTGTAGACCTTTCGTCGATTGCTAGCTCGTTACGCGCAGGTGGAGCCAACAGAGAACCCCATTCTTCTGCCGGAGATGAGATAAACGGGTACTTAACTCTCGCGCGTACGTTCGTGGTACGGCACGGTCTCGCCTGAAACTGGAATCCGCCATCACTTCGAGCATCGTCGAAGCTCGATGAAGCCGCCCCTGACGAACGGTACTAACTTGGGGTTGTTGAATTCAACGTTGCCGCTCTGCTGCTGCTGTCTGCGCGGGGGTCGTTGACAACCACGTCCTAGTTGTATATAACGGTAGGATAAAACAGTCTCCAGAGCGACTACTATACAACGACCTGGAGAGTGATCAAGGAGGCGATCAATTCTTAGATTCATTATATTGTGAGAAAGAGTAGATTCCCTTGCTGTTCGATAACGACCTGAGTCAACATCTGATCAGTATACAAGAAGGTCGCTTAGAGCACAAATTTTGCTTCCAACGAAGACTGAATTGTGGCAAACAGGACATTCCGAGGCGAGTATCTGCTTTCGCTCAACACCCACGAAACGATGAATACGACATTGTCGTGGGCGCGCGCCGGTGATCTCGGCTGGGTGCGACTGGTGTCCGCCGTCCGAGCCTACTCTCAGGTGCGGCAGCGGCGTTTTCGGTGGTCGTCAGCATGTGTCGGGGGTATCTCACCTCGTCCAGAGCGTCGCTCATATGGGGAGCGCATATCGCGGCGAACAATACCTTCGGAGGCTTTTTGCTGAAAACAGATTGTCGCATCTGAATGTATTGTTCGCCGCAATTCGATCCCCGTCGGCGCTAAATTCTGCCCTATGGGTCACGCTCTGGACTAGGTGCAGTATTATCCCACCAACATGCTGACTCTCACCGATAGCGCCGCTACAGCCCCCCACAATACTGACAAGATGCCGGATACCAGGTGTGTGCAGCAGAGATCACGGGCGCGCGTCCACACGAAAATGTCGCATCTTGCACTATGACCAACGAGAGGTCAGTAACGCAGAAATTAACCGGAACCAGAAATCAAGGTATTGTGAGAGATTTCGCAAGAAGGCGGGGTTACAAACTGAGGGAAGCCGGATATCGACGCCAAAGTCGCAATTCTTACGTGACACACTCCTCCTGTGGACCGTCTCAGCCGCCGATTTTCACGGGTGGGGAGACCGAGGCACGCAAGGGGCTGCGCGCCGCGTCTCGCGCGCGGGGCGGCCGCGGATGTGGCGCGGTGAGCGTGCGGAGGTGGCGGCGTAACGGCGTGCGGCACAATAAAAGAAAGTCACACCGATTTTGGGGGGTGCTGCTGTACTGCTTTGTGTGGTCCGTTTTAGAGCAACCTCTCGGCTACGAACCTAGTGCCTTTCTTTCGCGCGGAGTGAGACCGAGACACGCAACGTGCTGCACGCCATGTCTCGCGCCAAGCGCGGCCGAGGTCGATGCGCATGAGTGTAAATAGAGCAGGGGTGTAGGCTTAATAAACATGAGAAAAACATGTAGGAGGGTGTGGCGCGACGTTTCAATTATTAAAGTGAACAGACAATAGCGTTGAAAGCAATCGTGTTCTGTCCGGTTATATCTATGCTGCTCTACCGACGCGGGACCTTTCTAAACGTTGGAGAAGATTGCCGTGTGGGTGTGTCTTGAACGGGTTCGCCTTTGCTTGCAGGCTGGCAAGCAAACTTTGATCGAGTGTCATTCCCTCCACTCGCGCATGGGTGGCGCTGGGCGACAATCGTCTCACGCTACCGGGGGTGCGCCGTCGCATTCTCTCGGGGAGCGACGCAAGGAGCACGAACAAGCACGAACATATACTTGCAGTCGTTCGGTTGGGTTCACGGGTTTTGGGGGTTGTGTTCTGTTGATGATACTCTGGTGCAGTAGGGTTCGTCTTTACCCGACCGTGTCGGGATGGGTGGGTGGGTCGGTCGGTCGGGTTGTATTTTGGGGTGTGGTAGGGTTGGATTGGGGGTAGGGTGGGTTTGGTCGGCCGGCCGGCCTGTCGTTCAGTCGGTCGGTCGGTCGGTCGGTCGGTCGCTGGTTGGGAATGGGTAGGGTAGGGTTGGGTAGGGTTGGGTCCGTCGGTCCGTCGGTCGGTTGGGTTGGGTAATGCTGGGTCGGTCGGTCGGTCGTTTGGTCCATCGAGCGGCCTTGGGCCAAACCGTGGTCGATCTCGCTGCCATCGCCTTCGCCGACGTTGGGGTTGGGTCGGGTAGGGTTGGGTTCAGTTGAACGAGTTGGGTTGGGTGGGTTGGATTGGACCGGTCTTTCGGTAGGTCGATCCATCGGGTAGCCTGGTTCGTATGGACTTCTTCGCCACGGTCGCTCGGCTCCTGTGCGTGATCTTTATCTATATATTTGTCGTCTTGGTGCAGTGTCCAATGATACCCTTTATGGCGGAGTCTGTTATTGTTGCGGGTTGGCGTGTGGGTTCTTTCTTAGAGGGTCTTGGTTGGGCGTGTCTACTTGGGATTGGGTCGGGAAGTGAAGCGGGTTTAGGTCGTACGGTCGGTCGGTCCGTCGGTCGGTTAGGTTCGGTATCGTGTTGGGTCGGTCGGTCTTTGTCGGTCGGTCAGTCGATAGCTTTCGTGGTACGACAAACATAACACCCACTTCTGTAAGCTGCATTTGAGCTTCACCGTTAGGGTGATATCTGAAATGTTGCTCATCGTCTGCATGTTCTCGGTGTGAACGTTTCGTTTTTCTCGGTCGTCCAGGTGATCATCGATGTTGAGCTGCTGGGCTCCGTCTACCACTGGAATTTGGACGTGAAAGGCATCACTGCTATCGGTAAGTGTTTGCCGGTGGTCGCTCGTTTGTGTTTTGTGCCGATGATGTCGTTGCGAGTACTCCTACCGTTTTCGTACTTGTCGCCGCTGTTGTTGAAGATTCTTTGGATGCTACTGCTTAAACGAACCCCCACGCTCGCACAACGTGTTCCATTCACTCGTCCCTTGCCTACTACTGGTATGTTGAGAACCGACGGCATCGTTTAAGTGGCCTCTCCGACGTCTGGACAGCAGGCTAAAATTGACCTTCCTTGCGGTATTGCTATGCCTGCCGGTCTGTCGGATCTGCTGCTTGCTGCCTTTCATCCTCTCAGAGCTGATCACGGCGCTTGGGTTAGTGGTGGACTACATAGTTCACATCGTGCACTTTTTCCTCCATCAGGTAAATGGTACGACGGGAAGTCTAGGCCGTCCGCCGCCACGTAGCGTTGCTCTCGTGGTGAACTAGTCAGCGGATGTGTCTACGTTTTCACATGAAAAGACGCAGCCTCGCTCTGGAGCGTTTCGTTACTCCCCCGACAACTTTGGCCCCTCTGGTCTACTGTACCAGATGTCCAAAGGCAGACAAGAACCCGAACACGTAACCCCTCTTCTCCACTCTGGAACCAATCGAACCCGGATCTAATCCAAGCGCTACGGCCAAGGACGCCACACCACTCTACCCCTTTCCCAGCTTAAGTGCGGTATTGCGAGGAGCCTTATAAAGATTAACGGACGGCATGGAGCAGCCACGCACCCACTCCCCGCTTTGCTCTCTATCGTCATCGTTGGCCCCCTCCATATTTCATCAGGACCCCAGCATCCCGAAGGACGCGCGAATCGCCGAAGCGCTGGGGGAGATCGGGCCCTCTGTAATGGTGGGAGCAGCGACAACATTCCTGGGAATCATCCCCCTGGCGTTCGCTAACACCTTTATCTTCCGTGTGTTCTTCAAGATGTTCCTCGTCATCATTTCTTTCGGGGTACGTTTTTCTTCTCGCGTATAGTCTATAGCATGGCTATATTGTTGCCATCCATCCATCCGGTAGCATGTTTCCGTTCGGGAAGATGTGGGTGTGTCAACCCATCTATTCCGGCGCCAGCGTACACGCCTTTGGTTGTATGTGTTTGACGCACCAGTCGGGGTCGTCACACTGGAGGAAGTCCACGCAGGGTGTTTTATTGGTTCTTGATGGAAATCGGAGGCGAGGGACTAATGTATGGAGAATGCAACGTGCAATGATCGGGTTTTTCGTACGGCGCCTCGATATTGCAGGTCGATTTTTAGACTCGCCCTCCTCAATCCCCTTGGGCACACATGACATCCGTTCTACCATTTGTTTTGTCTTTCTTCCCCCCCCCGCTTCGTAACGCCAGCTTTTCTTCCTCAATCCCCTTGTGCACACTTGACATCCGTATCTTCATTCGTTTCGTCTTTCTTACCCCTCCCGCTTCGTAACGCCACCTTTTCTCTGGAGTTTTTCCACGGGGTGGTATTCATCCCGGTCATGCTGTCGATACTGCCCGACCGCCTGGTTTCAAACTCCGGTCACGAACAGGGTACGACATCCATCACAAGACACACCGAAAGCAAGAAGGTACAACCTATTACGTACTACGTGAGCTGTGACCGTTTCTATGTACAAACAATGTTGTTTTATTAGGCCGCTTTTGGAGTGGTATTTTTGACGTCCATCCGTGGATGCTGTGTCTGCTGCTAGCGTCACGCCCAAAGCCTCACTTGCTGTCGTTTAGTGAGCAATTCATTACGAGCTGATTTCCCATCTTCCCCCCACCCGGTGATTTGACCTTGGTCCGTCCAATAGGTGGTGGGCTTAGAAGGACCTCCGTCTGCTTGAAACCACCGATAAAAAGACGACGCTCGTGGAACACGAAGGTCCATCCACGTGCTCGCGGTGACGCCGAGGGCGCGTTCCCGCAAAACTGTGGCTTCTGCCCTGTATGGAACTGTTTTTGCTGCCCGTGCTGTGAGGTGTTTGTGTCATGTTTTATTTAGTTTGGTGTAGACGTTGGGCTGTGCATCATCGGTGCTAGGTCTTCTAAATAGGTATTCCCTTCTTACGTTTGTTATTTCCTTGTCATGGGGACCTTGTCATGGGGAGGGACGAAGGAATGCGGGGTATGGGGCGATATGGTTTGTGGGCGCATGTGCGTACTTGGGGCTGTTTGTGATGTCACGCGTCTCTTTGGGGAGGAAAACTAGAAACCCCGACGAGCTGATTGGTACGCGTAAGGTGGTTCATTGTTTAACGTACATAGGTGACTGACATATTACGTCCCCTGGACCGATTTCCTAACCTCGGCTACTCCACGACGAAGAGGACTTGCATGGCCAAGCGATACGTTCTCGTAAACATCTCGACGACGCGGGTCCAACGGTGACAATTTCACCGCCACTCTTTCTAGTGTATACGAGTGACGCTTTGAAAATCGGTGTAGGGGGTGTGGTACCTTATGTCGCCTACGGTAGGGTCTCCAACACTTTCTACAATTTCCCGAACGACCCATGAGACTCTCATGGGTGACCTATGGGCCGCTCACGGGCACCCCGTTAGACCCCATGGGCACATTGTTGCCCACCGGTAGCCCGTGGGCAGCCCATGGGCGGCCCATAGGCAACCCATGGGAAGCCCATGGGCGGCCAATGAGAGCCCTTCAACCGAACCAGTGTACTCTTGAGCAATGGTTCGATAGATTATCTCCTTTGGAACGGGCACTTAGCGGCTAATACTCCTAACGCTAACCGTAACCCTAACCCCGAACCCACACGATACGTGCTACGTTGGAGTTTGTGGCTAAGTTCTAGGTTGATGTGAAGGTGGCTATGTTCTAGGTTGATATGCCGGTGGCGAAGTTCTAGGTTGAAGTGCCCACGGTGGGCACTTCATGGGCCGCCCATGGGCCGCTCGTGGGCATGCCCATGGGTGACCCATGGGCAGCCCATGGGCGGTTTACCAAACTGTCAGTGGTGTGGGAGGTTGGGTAGGTCCGGGTTGCGGACTATGCTGACGATGTCTCCGTACCCATGCCCGGCGAGGCAATATCAAGAGGAGTGTCTTTTAACATGTTCTCGACGGACGTGCCTGTCCGCCGTCCTTTTGGTTTCGCCCAGCCTGCACCCTGCTGACCACACTTGCAGCTGAATGATTGAAAAAGAATGAGCTAGGACCCCAAGCTTGACGTGTCATAATTGTACTTCTACTTGTAGCTGCTGTACATGCGGGGGAATGCACTGCCGTCAGCTGTACGCATCTCACCTCCTCGGACGCGCCGGGCTTCGGAACGAGCTGCCGTGCTCCAGCGAAGACGACCAGAGCGTCGAGGGGCATGTCGCCGAAGATGGGCGTTTCCACAAGGCCAAGGGCGACAGAGTTCACCCACCCCCGACGCCGCGTCCTATCGAGATTCGAGCGGAAGAGGCGTTCACGGGGCAGGCTGGCGGATTAGGAGGGTTGTATCGACGTGTTTCTTGCCGCCATTCGAGCGCCAAAACATCAACTACAGTAGCTGCGCTATTGACTCCGAAGGCGACGCATTCATTTGCTCGGGGCATGGGGGGGGCATCTCATGCTGCCTTCGATTTCGTAGTGCCCAGGGGCGTGTCATGACGTCACCGCTGTCACTGGACGTGTTGCGGTGTGTGGAGTGGTGATATTCGGCAAGCCTTTGGGAGGGTTATTGGATACCTAGAGGAAGTCGGATGGGTCGGCGGTCCATCTGCAGACAAAACAAGAAAATAGCGAAACAAAGTTCAATACCTACTGGATCTTGGACTACTGTACACCCTATGTAACAACCTGTGCTGCCAAAGTAGTGGCGATGAAAAAAGAAACTGAGCCTCGACACGATTTTGATTATTCTTTTCTCGCCCAATCGGCAATTTTTCACGAAACTTGGGGCTCCGCTTGGTATGTGGGAGAATGCAGCCTGTGGGTGACCCATGGGCTGCCCATGGGTGTCCCATGGGCGGTGTCCCATGGACGTTTTTACGAAACTGTAGAAATTGTGAGAGACCCGCGCTGCGGACACAAATGTTTCTCGCACACACACCTGATACTTCAAGCACCAGGCAATGGACTGACGATGATGTCCGGGAGATCCTCGATGGTATCTACGGTGATGCCCACGAAAGGGACCGCCTTGAAAACGCCCGCGTTGTTGAAGGCCACGTGTAGCCCGCCGAACTTTTCCATCGCTGCGTCTACCATTTTCTTGCAGTTCGCTTCCTGTGGTGCGTCGGGGGGGCAGTAAATGTAGCAGTTTGGCATCAATGCGGGTGACACATGGGAGCGTGTCGAGTGGTCACGCCCGCAATATGTAGCAGGCGAGGCCCTCTTGTGCATTTTCAGAAAAAAAACGCGAGCGAAAAACAAGCTGGATGCACGTGTTGCGACGCGAAACGAGAGACTTACTTGAAGTTCATTATTGCGTAGTGTATGAAAACAGAACAGCTTTTCTCACCGAGAGTGTGCGTCATGAAACGATGAAATGGCTCCATGGCTCGCATCATAGTCTTCCTTACACATTCTCCTACACCACAGGCACTTTTGCTAAACCGCTCATGGGCACTTCATGGACTGCCCATGGACTGCCCATGGGTGGGCCCATGAGCAGCCCATGATCGACTACGAAGCGCCCACGGTGGGCACTTCAACCTAGAAGTTCGCCACCGGCATTTCAGCCTAGAACATAGCCACCGGTACATCAACCTAGACCTTAGCCACCCAACACCAACCTAGCACGTATGTATAGTGTGGGCTTGGGGTTTGGGCTAGCGTTGGGACCGTTACAATGCCCCTTCCAAAGCAGATATTGTTTAGGAGCACCCTGGTTCCGGTTGAAGGGCACTCATTGACGGTTCATGGGCTGCCAATGGGCTGGCTGCCCGCCGGATACCCATGGGCTGCCCCGTGGGCATTCGCCATGGGCACTTGGGTGCCCATGGGCAGCCAATAGGTGCCCCATGGGCAGCCAATGGGTGCCCCATGAGCGGGTAAGAAAAACTGTAGAAAGAGTAGGAGACCCACCTTACATGCCCGTGCATGCTCAACAAGAGTTCTCAGTCTATCTGTCGTGCGTACCTTGGAGACACCGCCCACCACAACCGCCACACCGGCCGACTTGATTTCCTCGGCCACCTCGTCCCGCTTGGCCTCGCGCCTCGCTACAATCACCAGCTGTGAAATGTGTACGTACGAGTGTTGGAAAATGACCAGTACAACCATTGTTCGAAGTGTGGCCCGGAGGGTACCGGTACCTTGAGGAAGCACTCAAGTGAACGTCGTGTGCAGGTTTCTATGTCTTTGATATCGCACCGGATGCGATTACACGGTGCGGAAACGTCGGTCTGTTTTTTTCGCGCACCCTGGTGCCATTACGCCGATGGGTGCGAAATCATCGATGGGCACCATACAGATAGCGCACGCAATCAAGAAAATTTTGTTAAGAAAAAAAGGCTCAAATGTTTACGGAAAACAAGAAAACAGGGCTAAGAAACGCAGCTCAATCTCGGCCACAACATGAGGAACGTCCCAACAAGAAACATGATCGTGCGATATCCCAAGACAAAAGAAACAAGGGGTATACAAGCTGGGGCAGCGTGTCCGTTAAGAAACATGTCGCGCTGCTGTTGCTGCTGCTTCTGCTGCTGTGCTGCTGCTGCTGCTGCCGTGCTCCCACCCGCCTACCTATCTATACATAGCTCATGTCATGTAATTCTTGGAAGGGGGGGAGAGGGTTCTGTTCGCGGCGCCCCGCGCGCCCCAGAGCGGCCGCGGGCTGCGCTACCCACTGCTGCTGGACTGCCACAACCCCAATGTTCGCCACACCGAGCTGTCGGTTCAATGCTGTATGAAGGCTTGGTGTGTTGTTGTTTTCTTCGCTAGAAATACGATACGAAAATAAGAGAATCCGCAGGATGCGACAGCCCAAAGGAATAAGAAATCCATTTTTAGAAATCGGCCGACTTCGGCTGGTCCTTCTGCCCAGAATATGAAATTGAGGCCCGACCCGATGTTGACGTTTCTTATTTCCGGGCCCCATGTGTACAAGTCTAACACGCGCATTTATTTACGATACTTCTCATCAAGAGGGCAAAAAGCCTTTACGTGTATGTACAGCACCGCCGACACCCTCTCCGGCACCCGTTCTTCTCATGTCATGAGCTTAGGCCTGGGTGGACATATTATCTGTGGGGTCGAGAGGTAGACTATGGGAAGGAGGAGGTAGACAGCGTGGTTCAGCAGCATGTTGGTGGAGACAAACCCCAGACAAGACCGCAAGTAGGATTTTGTTTTCGATGCTTTCAGTTGGTGTCTTGTGCACGGGTACAGTAGTCTGTAGTCTATGATCTTCGCGGCGTGCGATCTCTGGGCTTTCGAAAACCGCTGTTGAGAAACAGACTCTCATGGTTTGCAGATCGCTCCAACGCGTGCTCGCCCGCACATCGTCGCGAACATCACACGAAACATCGCCACCAAACTATGTACAGACGAAATACCTATAGACACATAGAGAGAGGAAACGATCAGTTTTACTTTCACGACTGCGACGTCGCGGAAAAAAATATTTCGCTCGTTGACACCACCAGCAGCAGCGGAATAAAACGACAGGGGTCAAGACCGAACGCATCACGCAACATGAGGGAAACAGCATGGGCGTCCTTTCTCCACCTTGATATTTTTGTGTCGCCCCTCTCATCGCGTACGCACCTTGGTTCCTTCCTTCGCGAAGGCAATGGCGATAGCCTTGCCGATCCCCGACGAAGCACCTGTAACCCAGAATCCGACACACTACACACCCTTCAAGCTTTATCCATGATATTGATCTGTCTGAAGATGTCTTAGGTTGGAGAGGGTTTGGACGGAACAGCTCCGTGCCCGCCGAGCTGGAGAGGTGACCGTTGTTGAAGATGAATGATTATGGAATGGGAGTGGCAGGCAGGGTGGGAAGAACGAGGGGCAGAAATCCTAACCCTATAGTCCGGCGGATAGCGACCCGGTGACCAGCGGGCGGCGGTGAAATATCCCCGATTCGCCAACACCCTCCCGACTGTGTCACTAAAATACTCCGCCACGTCCCCTTTCGAATGTGGTATAATCTCGAAAGGGTAGTCTTATGTCTTTGATTGAGTAGCGATGTTTTCTAAGGAATCAAGGAACACTCTTTCTTCTTTTCTTTGCCCGTCGGCCGCTTTTCCGCTTTTTTTTCCGTCCGCTCCGCTCCGCTTTCCGTCCGGCCAAGCTGGTCCGCCCGTTTTTTTTTGCTGTTCGGTGCAACTGCTGTATTACAGCAAGTATCTTCAGGTTCTTTGTCGCATCACCGGACCCGCTCACACACACCACTCTCACACGCGCGTTGTTCTCCACCCTATTCACAAGCTGGCGAGCACTCTCTGATACTCCTTCTCTCTGCGACCTTCACGCACGTGTCAAGGAGGTAATCCGACTAGACTATAGGTGAAACGAAACTTGAAGTGCCGACAAACCATTCAAGATGGCACCCAACGGCGGCGCCAGTTCAACCGGCGATGCCCAGGCTAGCAACGCAGGTAAGAGGGAGCCAAACTGCTGTCGAAGAGGTGCCCATGTTGTTTGATTGCAGCTACATCCTGCTGTGCACGCTAGGGTTGGAACAAATCAGGAGGTTTGAATTTGAATGCTGACAAGTGATGAAAACGAAACAAGAACACACGTACGTACTGCTGGACCTTGCAGACCTTTCTACAGTCCGGACAAATCGAGCGGCTTTGGACGGAAGGAAACAGAATCTGTTTTTCGGACCAACACCAACGGCGCCGAAAGAGCCCTATAACCTCTTGCACTGATCGCGAGCGTGGCTGCTGGGTATGAACCGCCGTTGAGCTATACATAGCACAATGTGACTGCTGTCTCCGGGTTGTCGACCTTCCTCAGACCCGACTATGTGCACCGCTCCCTCTTCGCCGCGTTGCTCCACCGCCCTCGTTTGCTCGTTTGAAACAAAAAAAAATGTTCTGCAGACGGTTCCAAGGGTTCCTCCGCCTGGCCGAGATTTCACGACAGGATCAACGAAGTGGCCGACAATTTCTTCTACCGCCTGGGGTACTGGGTAGCCACGCACCCCAAACGGACCCTTCTCATCAGCCTCGTTCTTGTGATCGCCTGCTGCTTCGGGTTCGCCAACTTCAGGATTGAGGGCGATGGTGAGCAGAGCCCAAAACCCATGATTACCTTGGTGCAGGGGGGTCGCAAGATTCATAGAATACTTGATGTTTTTGTTCGCCTTCGTGAAGATGGCCCCGCCGGACCGGCGGCGAGAGGTAATGTAGGCGATGTGTTACAGAGCTCACTCGGAATATCATGCCGTGTTCACGAACCATTCATGTTACGTCCGGATCCAATACGTTAGTCGTGGTCCGTTTGTTGTGGATACTCGCGGACATCCGTCACCGTTAAATTAGATAGAATGTATGTTTGTAACGGGTGGCAATAGCGGCGTTTTTGAAAGCGGCGAGACTGCCATAAAAAGTGGTTGTCATTTTAATGTTTTCGTTCTCAGATTTTACATCGCACAGGGGTGCCATGTACCCGATACCTGTGCGGAATAATAACTTAGTCGTTGGTCCTGAAAATAGGGTCTCTCACACTTTCTACAGTTTTCCCAAATGACCCATGGGCCGCCCATGGGCAACCGCCCATGGGCAGCCCATGAATGACCCATGGGTCACCCACGGGCATGCCCATGCCCATGGGTGGCCCATGGGCAACCCATGGGAAGCCCATGGGAGGCCAATGATAGCCATTCACCCGAACCAGTGTATTCCTAAACAATAGAATATCTGCTTCGAAACGGGCACTACAGCAGCTAATAACCCTAACCCTAACCCTAACCCTAACCCCAAGCCCACGCGATACGTGCTAGGTTGGCAATGGTGGCTAAGTTGATGTGAAGTAGCTAGGTGGAAGTGCCCACGGTCGGCACTTCATGGGCCGCCCATGGGCCGCCCATAATCATTCATGCCCATGAATCACCCATGGGCAGCCCATGGGCAGCCATCTGTGGCCCATGAAGAGTAGTGTGGGCGATTGGTGTTGAAAAAATAGAAAGTGGCGACGTGGAGTGTTTTTGAACGCGCACCGTGCCAAGACTCCGACGTGTGCGATTTTGAATGCATCACAGCGGACACACACCAGCACTTTCGTGTGCAGTTGTACTACAGCACCAGGATTACACCACAACGAACTCAAACACAAAAGCAAGATAGCACACGCACAAACACAAGCGGCGAAATTACACCCGAGGTAGGAGGTAGGAGGTAGGTGGCGAATTACGAATTATTACGTGGAAATTCCCCGACACAGAGGTGTGTGCTCACACACACCACAAAGTAGGGACACGTTGGCTACGATGTCCTTTGGTCTCTTGTGGTTTGTACGAGTTCTTGGCTGTTTGAGTGGATACCGTTTGCCGACTTCGACAATAACAACAACATTGAAAACAAGGCAGTTCTATATAGAAAATAGAACATCACGGTGCCAGAGTACCGCAGTGGAGTTCATGATCCAAGCTCCCGTGGTACAGTAGTGTCCCGCGACAAACGCTGGATACCACTCGTATTATAGCCCAACCTCACAGAAGGTATCGGGGTCTCCGTACACCCCTGTGTGAAGTGAACGATACCGTGCGATAATCTATGTAATGAAAATCCCTTCGAACCCGATTTTTTTCCGCACCCCCTGTGCCAAGACCCCGGCCTGTGTGGTGCAGCCGATTCGTGCCAAGACGCGTATCCTTGCGGTACTCGGCGATGACAACCCAGGCAAAGCCCACACAGACACACCTCTTGCGATACACAGGAATTTCCATTCACCAGCCGAAACGATGGCCGCGCTGTGCTGTTCTATTTCTCCCCGCTTGTCTTTTGTGTCTATCGCCTACGGTCGTGTTTACGTGACTGCTGTCCATTCTCGCTGATTTCCCACGTCCGTCGCGTGCACGATGCCACCACCGACTACGCAAACAACAACGATGGCGACAACGACAAAAGAGGAAGAACTCTGGGTGCCAGGAAAGTCCTTGGCCAAGGATCACCAGAGCATCATCCTTGAAGACTTCAACGACGGTCAGATAACCCCACTCTGGAGTCTAGTAACCTGTCTGGCCGGCCCTTGTCCTCTACACCAACCAACGTCGGAAATGATCACCGAATGCCCTAATCGAGTACCTCGGTTGACTTCACGCCTTTGAGCCCCCAGCATTCCACGTTTCTTGTGTGTCGCCTCATTTGCCGTTGTATTCCTAACCTTCCGTCTAATGGTTGGCGGTAGTCAACTGTCCGTCACGGCGCCCGTGCTCGCGCACTACACCAACCCGCCCAATATCATCCTTGCATGCGATGTTTCGTGCCTGTCAGACGGCGAGTATGCCACCTTTCTGGTGGAGAGCCCGTCTGAAACAGGCAGCGTGCTGACTAAAGAATCGGTCGATGCGGTATGGGAGCTGGATGCCATCGTCATGGCCGTCGAGGTAGAAACAGTCCTGGAAATTGTTGGTGTTGTGTGTGTCGACGTTGGGCATTGCCGTTGTCGTTGCTGTCCTTGCCGCGGTCAGTAATATGGTGGTTTCTTTTTCAACGTTGTTCTGAGTTGATCGCATTACCGCATAATGTACATGTATGCACACACCTCGCGTATTTTCACATTGTAACAAATATATCGGCCGTTTTGTGTGTTGAAGGTTGATGGCAACACCTACGCCGACTTGTGCTCCAAAGAACTGGACGGTGCGACGTGCGAACCGGTGTTCCGTGGGATCACTCGCTTCTGGGGAGATTTCTACACCTACGAGGTAAATCTCGCAGAAGCGCGTCTTAATCGAGCATCGCGGGGATTTATGATACTTTCGAATAGGCCATCGCACCAGAAACGCATTTTCACCGGTGCTTTCTGCTGCTCTACGATCTGCACAAAATGCTGCTTCTTTCAGCGCACACACGTAGGTTCTCCAGCCCCCTCCATACCCACGCCCCCCCCCCCCCAACATGCCGTTGTCCGCGTGCCCCCGCGTCTTCCCCAACCCATTCGTAAGGCTTCCGTGACAAGCGATGCGGATATCCTTGCGGCCGTGAACGTGACCACCTTTCCGGATGGGTCGGCAGTCAGTGAGCAGGCCCTCTTCGGCAACGGGATCACCTATGATGACGACGGCAACATCTCCGGAGCAAGGGCTGTCATCCAGGTGACCGACCGCATCCTGTCGTGATGAGTGTGCCTACTGCGAGTGTTGGATCAAGTTGGATGTGTCGCGCAGAAATAACACCCCCCAAACTAAAACCCATTGTACGAATGTAACGTATATCTGGTCAAATGATATCTTGTTCGAATTGGAACGCAACGTTGACCAAGCCAGTGTAAAAGCCAGTGATTGGTCAGGTCGGGCGTGCAGCGAGGAAATAATGCCCCCAAACAACGTACCGCTCATCAAGACAGACGAGGACGACGACGATGACGACGGCAAATAATACTGCTGCTACAACCACTTGTGTGACCTGCTAGCGATGTCTGCTAGTCCGGTCTTGACTTCGACGGATCAGCACTTTCTCAGCCACAGTCAATGAGACGGGGACGGCGTCCGTCCGTTCCTCCCCTATTTCTTTCAAGTATGCCGTGCTCTACCAATCCATCCCAACAGCGATAGATGGTAGCGTTCGTGATGATTTGTACGCGTTCTTCTAACCACGTGTAGATCCACCGCATGTTCCGCCGCTTCGCAGGGGTATGCGCTCGCGTCTGACCCTGATGATGGCGCGGACATCAATGACTACGTTTTCGACTGGAACGAGGCGTTTCACGTAAGACCTGACGGGTACACTGACAAGAGCTCTGCTATCGAGGCGTTTCGTGGAACGGACAGCGCCCATGTATATTTTGTTACCCCACTCATTCATGTGGCATCGTGAGGTCGTAGATTTGTACCACTTGATGGCTCTGTTCCCGATGACCGAAAAGGTGCCGGTCATCACTTTCCGAAAGTGGCTCCGGTCAAGGGGAATGCTGTCATCAAAAGGCTCATGTCGTCTTGGTTCCCAACACCTGCTCTTCCTGTCGCCACAACACTAAATACGTTTTAAGTGGAGTTTGGTCAAACGACGTTTTCTGTCTCTCTCTGCTGTTTATTTCCGTCTTGTGTTTTTTTTTCTGTTTAATTTTGTCAGGACGCCATGCAGGAAGCCACGGACGATTTCGATGTTCTCGACGTATACTACCTCACCAGCCGGTCTGGCAACGATGCCCTCGAAGAGGCCGTGTCGGGCGAAATCTTTCTCTTCATCACCACCTGTAAGAGAATGGCCAAGTCTAACAAAACCTTCGACAAAACGCCTCAGGCTTGATTCAGCCGGGTTTCTCTGCAGACGCCCTCCCTCAAAAACTCGAAAACGGGATTTTTTTTAGCCGGGATGGCTAGAAGTCTTCCATCGGCATTGCAACCAATATTCCGTGTGTGGTATCCACAGGAGTTTCCTTCAAGATTTGTTTTGACCAGTCACTACATGTGTAGCGGGTGACATCGCCACTGTGATCCTACCGAAGTCGTTGATCTTGTGGCGTTGCTCAACATCTCTCCTCTCCGTGCGTTGCGTTGCAGATATTCTGATGGTCGCATTCGTTTCGGTAGCAATCGGACGGTGCTGCAGCGGACCCGTCAAGCGACGGAGCTGGTTGGGAGTCGGCGGCGTCATGCTCGTCGTTGCCGCAGGCTTGGCAGCCTACGGGATCAACAGCGGCTTCGGTGAGTTAACGCCCACCATCAATCACGAGCTGGTTGAAACTTTCCCGCCTCTGGACGAAATCGGTTGGGAGAAGTGGTGGCCAGCCGGTTGTACTTGCTTATGCTCTTCTTCTTGGCTCCTCTCCGACCCTTCTGACCCATCCGTGTGCTTCTCTTTGGGTCCGCCTGTGTACAATCTGCTTGCTTGCCTGTCTGCGCATGTTCGTGCGGACCTTCTTCCACGGGACGACGACGACGACGACGCCCTCGCAGACATCCCCTTCACGCCACTTTCGCGGATCCTCCCTTTCATCCTCATCGGAATCGGCGTGGACGACATGGTAAGTGTGCAGGCAAGCAGCCAGGTAGGCCCTAGTTCTGTCAAGGAGGGATAATTATTTTTGTGCGTTGGTTGTTACGGCAAGCCCTATTCCCTCCCTTGCAGTTCTGTTCTTGTTGTTGCCAGAGGCTTCTCGTTCTACCTTTGTTGGCGGTGTCACGGTGTCACGTCCACCTGGCCATCGGTTTCCCCTCATCCCCTCCCTCCTCTTAACGTCGCCGCGCACAACCGTAACCAAAGCTTGCATCTCGCCTTCACGGTACGTGCTGTTGTGCCTGCTGTCGCTCTTGGACCTACCTCCACCAATGTGTCCCCTCCCCCCTCATTGTTTCCGATCTTGTCCGTCTCTCCTTGCGTGTGTCTGTCTGTCTGTCTGTCTGTCTCTTTCTCTCTCTCTCTCTCTCTCTCTCTCTCTCTCTCTCTCTCTCGCTCTTTCTGTCCCTTTCTCTGTCCCATCGCCACTGCCCTACCTCTGCCCACAGTTTGTCATCGTCGCGGCGTACGACCACACCGACCCTTCGCTCGCCGTGGAGGAAAGGATCGCCCTCGGAGTCAAGCGCTGCGGGGTGTCCGTCACCTGTGAGTTCGACTACATTGTGTATAGCCATGTTGTTTGTATGTATATTAGCATATAGCTTTGTCCAACGATCTCGTGCAGTTTTTCCAAAGGTAGGGCGACCGCCCTCGCCGTTGCACAGTTGTCGAACAATAATAACAGTCGCTGCGTCGTTCAGCAACATAGTACGGTCACCCCGAGCGAGTGTACTTGGCCTCCAGAGCAATCCCGCCTTTCTCTTGTGTTCCCAAGACAATCAAATAGTATGGGCATCGCTTGGTTTACGGGTGTCGCTGCCGATACGTCAACGCTGCGTATTGACGGCCCCCTTGTCCGCCCTCGACGCAATGTGGGTATTGTTGGACCTGCTGATGAATTGAAGCCGCTTTCCCGCTCCTTTCCTTCGCAGACACGTCGCTGACGAACTTCTTCGCCTTCATGCTGGGCAGCATGTCCTCCCTTCCGGCTGTGGAGTACTTCTGTCTCTACGCCGGCACTGCCATCTTGTTTGACTTCTTCCTCCAGGCGAGATAGAACAATCTTGGTATGAGTCACACATCCTGCCGCATGGGAAACGCAATCCGCATGGACTATGTACAAGTATTTCCCTCCTCGCTCTTTTCTGCCACGCTGTTTCGTTTTTCATACCGGGAGCAAGAAGAAGGCTAGGTCTTGCGATGCACGCCACAAAGCACACGTTTTTCGACAAATCATCGATATATCTGTCCTCGTTTAGAGGTCCTCACGCAGACGTGCTCCTTGTCGGTTCTACGGCGCTTTGCGTGGTCATCAAGACGAAGGTCTTCGTGGGACTTCTAGAAAAAAATATTTTGCTCGTGCCCCATTCCGACCCCTACTTCATGTTGTCTAGATGACAGCTTTCGTGGCACTTCTGACCATGGACGCCAACCGTCAGAAGGCCGGCAAGATAGACTCGTGCTGCTGCTTCACCAGCAAGAAGTATCTCCGGGAGCAAGAGCGGCAACACCAGGTAGGTGGGCGTGCCATATCATCTTACAACGAACGTGAATAAAGAGATACAGAATAATATGGCCCATTTTTATCCATATACCCTTGAACGTGAAGGCCCGTTTCAGGGGGTGGGTGGGAGAGTCGCGATCACATCTGTCGGGGGCCCAGGCGTCGGGCTGTGTATCATCACCCAGCGGGTGCCTCTGCCGCTGGTTCACGAAGGAGCGTCCACGTATTTTCTCCAAAAACTGCTTTTGCAAACACTTTGTGGTTAACTCGTCCCAGTTCCAACATGAAGATGGTTGTCGTCGCCCTAGTCATGTGTGTTGTGTGTTTTCGTCACGTCTATTCTGGAGACAGTCTACGCACATTCCTATCGATGTACCAATGCATTTCTGGTTCGGCTGGGGTTACACAAGACGAAGAATGGTACACAGACGAAGAATGGTCACACTGGAGCTTGATATCGTTTTTCCCGTTGTCCCTTTACACAGTCCATGCGTCGGAACAAGAAAAGTTCTGACCTCCCTGCTTTGTGTCGCTTTCCTTGGCTTCCCGTCCAATGATTTCTCGTCAAACCCTTCGGTTCAGGAGGGTGTCCCAAGAGGAGTCACGCTGCCTGCGAGCATCGGCGAGAGGGTAGACATGAGCCGAAGGGCGCTCGACCGCAAGGCGGAGGTGCACCAGATATCGTCGATCGGAAGGTTGGCCGTCTCGGATCTTCCTTCTCTCCCGATTAGACTACATTGTATTAATGGTGTTTTTGGCTCACGATGCCGCCCGCCACTATACATTGCGTCTCTCGTATTTCTTGTTGTCACGGGTGGTTGCACGCAGCTTTGAGTGTTTCGCGGTGGTGATGCGTCAGGTTTTGTCTCGAACGTTTTCACTTGTTTCCTGCCGCTGCTTGGAACTCACTCACCTCTGCCTTAGTTCGCGCAACTCGCCCGACCACCCCGGGTAGGTACAAGTTCGTTGCGCCCGCCACAAATTCAAGGATAAACGCACCCATGCTTCCGCTTGATGCCAGCTTACTTTCCCCAATGCGTGCCTTGCTGTGTTTTTATGCGTGGCTCGTAGGTTCATGAAAGAGAAGTACTCCCCTTTCGTTTTGTCAGCCAAGGGGAAGGCCCTGGTGCTACTCGGCTCGGCAGGGCTGCTGGCCGCCGGCATCTATGGCGTCACACAGGTACTGTGGGTGTTCTGCCCAAAGTTCACAATGCGCGCCAACCTCATCATATTTTCTGCACTGTTTGTTTGTTGCTGCCGGTGTTTGCTTATAGCACACGACGTTGCGAAAAGAAGAACGCAACCGAATCGTGACAAGCAAATTTTTAGAACCATCGCAACTCACGGTAAGGTTCATCAGACATTCCGAGTCCTTAGTTCATAAAAATAGCCACAATTAAATGAAAGCAAATTGCTGCGGTGTCCATTTGACCTGTTTCGGTGCCCCTTACAACGTACAGGCGACGCAAGGCTTCGACGCCCTCGATCTTGCTCCGGACGGTCACTACTCAATAGAATGTGAGTGGCCGTCTACAACGTATGAGTTGCTCCGACTACCATGTCCTTTCCGACTGCTTCTTTAGCTGTTTTCTTTTGCCGTCTCCCGGAGCTTTCGAAGCATGTGTGTACACATATATCCTAACCCTAAGCCGTTTCGTGTGCCGCAAAATGGCAAAACCGTCACCGCAACCACCTTTCCCTTTCCGCTGGTTACCGTTTACCGTACCACGACAGACACGGAAAAGGCGAGGTCCTACGACTTCGATATCCAGGAATGGTACGTCCCGATCAATGTCTACACCCAGGAGGTCGACTATCCCGACGTTACTGTTCAGGTGGGAGTGGTATGGTAGATGCAGAAATAGCAGTAAAGACATGAGGTAGCAACGTTCTTTTTCATAGAGAGGAAGGGGGGAGATACGGTTTTCCTCTTTCCGAGGCTCGTGAACCAAGCTAATTTTTCATAATATTGAATACCGCACGCAGGCCGAGATTCAGTCTGTCGATGAGGAAATGATAGAGGCTAAGAACGTCGACGGGCCGCTGGACTCGTGGCTCGCCTCCTTCATCGAGTGGGCAGAGGCCAACACCACCTACAGGTGGTTGTCAGTATATCAATAACATCGACCGCGCTACCCGACTGAACGTGTTGCTGATGCGTGTGTGCAACTCTTGGTTGTGCATCGACTGCGTGAAACGGTTGTTTGGTACCACACATGCGCCCGGGTCCTTCCAGACAGAAAAGGCACAATATTGCGTGCTTAGCATTGCCCGATGCAACCGGGTAGTATGTCGGCGTTCCGTGTGTTTTTTTGTGTCTCTACCGCTTGTGTCGATCTAGCAGAAGCTGAACACTCGGAATTCTTGGCTCTGTTGGAGGTCCGACCAATGTACAGAACGGCCTTTGGTTCCGCTTTCGAAGGGAAGCATTGAGACACGGAGGCTTCAATGGAAAATAAGCACACAGAAGCTTACCGAGGTCAGAACAAAGAAAGTGAATCTCACCCCGCAGTTGAAGCTAACACCTGCCGGTTTCGCCAAGAACGAATCGAAAGGCATTGCTCGCGGGCAAATAGCGATGAATTTGTGCGGTACATGTCACTACCGGCTATCATCGTTCGTTGCGGTTTGATTCTCCAAGTATCGACAGCTGCACCTCAACTATCGATGAGTGCCTCAAACCGCCCCAATTCGGTCGCTAGCCCGTCGCTGCCTTCACCCCTTGAAATCAAGACCTCTCCAACAGCTACCTACTCGCCGCCGCCGCCGCCGATCCCGCGAAAACACAAAATGCCCGAGCTGCTGCCGCCTTTGACCCTCACATCTGTAACACTTTGCCACCTACAGTGCAAACGTGGGTACGTCTGGGGGCTACCCGGTGTACGACGATCGGGACACGTTCTACACCGCTCTCTCCGCCTTCCTGGCGGACGAGGATAACGCAAGATTCTTGACGGACGTGATCTTCGACGACGATGGACTCATCAAGGTACAGCACTATCGTTAAGCTTGTCCGGTCAGGTTTCTGTTTCTGATGGGCGGGAAAACAGAGAGGGCCAAAAGGAGGGGGCTCTGTCATGTAGACCTCTCTCTAGCGTGTCGTCGTCTGTTTGCCACCGCCGGTGCTCCCAAATGGTTAGGGACGTGCGTGCTTCTTGTGTTCGCCGATGAAATCGAGAGCCTTTCGGGGAGGGGGGGGGGGGGGGCAGAAGCTCTGGTGTTTCTTCCTCCTGGGGATTCAGTCTGCGTGCATCTGGCTACAGTCAGGACGAAAACAAACATATCTGAACATTGGAGACCGTCGCCATCCACGATGACTACAACGGGTACAGGCAGAACTGTAGGTATGCAGCTTATAGCACGGAAGATTCAGACGTTCTTGTTTTTGTTCTAGCGAAGAGTGGACGTGCAAAGCCGCCGCTCAAAGCTTGTGTGATGGGAGGATGCATTCGGGTAACAGACCTGCGTATGATAATCTCCCCCCTCCTCACCTGGATTTATCTGGCGTGCTGGCCCCCGACGTATCGCAGATAAGTCGGTCGGAGATGTACCTGATCAATCTCGTCGACACGGATAACAAAGTGGACGCCCTCGAGGATACGAGAGAAGTCGCCGACCAATCAACACTCGACCCGCAGCCGTTCGCATACTCCGATGTACGTCCCTTTCACGCGGGTGTAGCGGGTTGTGCCATGGGGGTGTGCGGTATACCGTGCACCGCTATGTGCGGTTAAACACGGAAGGACAGAGTGACGGCCGAATCAATCCGCTCGGACGCTTGGATCCAAAAGTGTCTCGCGAGCATGGGGGAAGATATCGTGTCTGCTTGTTTCCTACTGCAACCAGCGTTTGCCAACAGCACCCGGTCGCCGCGGTAGCCTACTTCGTAGCCTTGTAGCAAACAGGGTCGGGTTTCGAATGTCGGCGTAAGCAAGTTTTCTCGAAACAAGTATAGGGTGATGACAGCAGCCAACAAAACACACACCAGAACGCCGATTATTGACAGTAAATCACCATCGGCCGCCCCCAACAGATGTTTCTCTTCGCGGAGCAGTACCTGGTCATCTACGACGAGCTGTTGTCAAGCTTTGGCCTCGCCTTGTTGGCGGTGCTCGTCCTGAGCCTGTTCGTGCTGGGCAAGGTCACCGTCGTCCTCCTCGTCTGTCTTACGTTGGTGGGTAATCGGAGGGAGTAGTCCCAGGGTTGGAGGTTGGAGTGCGAAAGGATACAGCCTGACCGGTGATGTTGAGTGGCATCTGAGATGGAGGGTGAAACCGAACGAAAGATTCCCCTTGGCGTCTAGATTGAAAGTTTCCTTTGAGCGACTCTATCGCCATCGGACGGACACTCCACCAACAAGAACAGCATTCTCGTGAAGGCATTCCAAATGGGCGGGGGGATTAGCTAAGTGTCTTCTACCGCATACCACGCACTAAGCTGCTGTTGAGCGTCAAGGCTAGGCTGATGTTTGGAATGTTGCTCATCGTTTGCACGTTCTCGATGTGAATGTGTTGTTTATTTCTCGTTCGCCCAGGCGATAATCGATGTTGAGCTGCTAGGCTTCGTCTACCACTGGAATTTGGACGTGAACAGCATCACTGTGATCGGTGAGTGTTTGCCTGTGGTCTCTCCCTAACTCATTCTTGTTTTGTGTGGATGATGTCTTTGCGAGTACTCCTGCCGTATTTGTATTGGTTGCAGCTATTTTTCAAGACGCCATGGTTACTGCTGCTTGAACGAACAACCCCGCCCGCACGACGTGTTCAATTCACTCGTCCCCTGCCTGCCGGTATGTTCCGAACCGACGGAATCGTTGACTGTCCTCTCCGACGTCTGGACAACAGACTGAAACTGACCTTGCTGTCTGGGTCTGCCGATCTGTGAAATCTGCTGCGTTGCCGCCTTTCACCTCCTCAGAGCTGATCATGGCGGTCGGGTTGGTGGTGGACTACATGGTCCATATCGTGCACTACTTCCTCCATCAGGTAAATAGTAGGACGGTTACTCTTAGCCTTCCGCCGAAACATAGCGTTGCTTGATGTGGTGCAACAAGCCAGAGATGGTGTCTGCAGCTTCACCGGAAAGGCGTAGCCTCGCTTGGAGCGTTCCGTGACTCCCGCGACGAATTTCGTCCCTCTAGTCTACCAGGTGCATGTTCAGAGGCAGACAAGAAGAACCCGACCATGGGAACCACAACCCCTAGTATCCCGACCAAAACCCGACGACCCCGAAGCCGCCTCCACGACCGCCCCAAAGAAGAGCACGGCCACTACACGCATACCCCCTTTTCTTCACACACGAACCCAAGGAACCGGATCTATAACCAAGTACTGCGATCCCGGATGCCACACACCCGTACCGCTTTCCCAGCTTCAGTTCGGTATTGTGAGGAGCCTTGCGAAGAATAATGGCATGGGACAGCCACCCACCCACTCCCCGCTTTGCTCTCTCTCCATCTTTCGCCCTCTCCCTATTTTTTCAGGACCCCAGCATCCCGAAGGACGCGCGAATCGCCGAAGCGCTGGGGGAGATCGGGCCCTCGGTAATGGTGGGAGCGGCGACAACGTTCCTGGGAATCATGCCCCTGGCGTTCGCTAACAACGTTATCTTCCGCGTTTTCTTCAAGATGTTCCTCGTCATCATCTCCTTCGGGGTATGTTGCTCTTGTTTACGTGTGCGCGTAGCATGGCTTTACAGTTGCCATCCATCATATTGGTAGAATGCAATACGTCACCACAGGTTTCCGTTCAGGAAGACATGGGTGTGTCCAACCCATCTATTCTGGCGCCAGCGCACACCCGTTTGGTTGTTTGCCTTTGACGCACCGACCGGGGTCACACTGGAGGAAGTCCACACGCAGGTGTTTTTTTATTCTGGATGGAAATCGGCGGCACGTGACTGATATTGAGAATGCAAAATGCAATGATCGGGTCTTTCGTACGTCGCCTCGCTTTGGCTGGTTGATTTTTGGGCCCGTCTTCCTCAATCCCCTTGTGCACACTTGACATCCGTTTTATCATTTGTTTCGTGTTTCTTACCCCCTGCTTCGTAACGCCACCTTTTCTCTGCAGTTTTTCCACGGTGTGGTATTCATCCCGGTCTTGCTGTCGATGCTGCCTGACCGCCTGGTTTCACAGTCCGCTCCCGAAGAGGATGCGGCATCTGTCGAACGACACACCGGAAGCAAGAAGGTGCAGCCAGCTGCTGTTGTGTTTTGAAAGCTGTGCCCATTCTTTTGCAAAAAATGATATTTTTTTTCGGTCGCTGTAGAACAGTTCTTTTTGACGTCATCCGCGGCTGCAGTGCCTGGTGCTAGCGCCACGACCAAAGCCTCACTTGCTGCCGTTGGGTGAGCAACTCATGACGAGCTGATTCACTATCTTCCGCCCCCCGATAATTTGACCGCGGCCTGTCCAACAGCTGGTGGTGTTAGAAGGACCGATATCTGTTTGAGAACACCGACGAATTGAGCGCGCTCGTGGAAAATGAAGAAGTTCCATCCACGTGCTCGCGATGAAGCCGAGGGCATTTGCGTGACCAACTCCGGCCGGTGGCCTGCAGAGTAGGAACAAGCGCAAGAGTCACGGAGACGCTGCTCTTCCGCACGGCGAGCGGCACGGGTTTTCCTGTTGTTCCCCTGTCTTGTGTGTGTGGTGAATACGCGGACGTATACGCGTGATGCAGCCCCTCGTTTTGAGTAAACGTCCCACACTTGCTTCCCTTCTCGGTCCCGCCACGGTGGTGGTGTAGGCGGGTGCAAAAATCCTCTCAAGTACCCTGGTCACACAAAGGTCGTCGTTCATGTTTGTGTGCTTTCCATTCACGTGCTGGCAAGTACGCCTGGTAAGCTGTCTTCTACCTTGTACAATAGGGGTCTGGTTTTGCTGCCCAGATGTGAGGTGTGTATTGCGTGTTTGTTTGTTCACTTCGGTCAGTAGACTTTGGGCTGTCTGCCCTTCTACGCTGGATGGACGAAGGAATGCGGGTATGGGGGGGTATGTCTATTGGAGTGATTTCCGTGCGTGCGTGTGTGTGTACTTGATGTTTGTGGCGTTTCTCGTATCTCGAGGGAGGAAAAGTGAAGCACCGAACGATGTATCTGATCGGTACGGAAATAGCGTCTGTCGCAGCACCGAGCAGGCGTGTGCGCCGGGTTGCATCTAAGTTGTAGCAAACGCTGAATCGCCACCGCATGCAAAAGGGGTGCACGACGCGCATGATATGAATCGAGTGGTATCGCGCTGATGATGTCCTGTTGACCACGTCGTAAGTGGCGATTCCACCGAAGGCGTCTGAAAAATGAACAGTTATTTGGTCGAAAAGACAGAAGAAAACCGATATGTATTGTGATACGGCAACAATTGTAGTTTCCACTGTAAGTCAACGCCGCCCTAGGTAGCATTGTGTCTATTTCAATGAAAACAAACGGTGCCCATGCACGTTCGGTGTACGAATGGGACTGCCGTCTCCTCCCACGATACACGTCAAGGTTGGGAGCTGATACCTTAGGGCATGCAATAGGCTACTGCTACTGCGGCTCTTCGGGCAATCCTTGGCAAACGATCATACGGGAGGATTATCCCACCTTCGTGAGTGAACCATGACTTTCCTGCTCCGCATATCGTCAAGATATGCCTACGGATTCATCAGTGACACGCCGTCACTACAACATGTAGTTCTGAAGGCTATTCCGTCTTATGTTTTATTCCTTGACGATACACGACTGGTATGACGGCCACCAGCCTAGCTTCTGTTTCCTTGGTGAGGGAACTACTGTACGTGTCGTTTTCTGCTGCGAGGAGGCAAATAACAAAACGTTCAGGTAGGTACTGTACATCCGTTGTAAAAAATAAATGCCGCGAATCCGTCGCTCCACGGCAAACGTAGTTGAGGGGAAGATGAGAAGTTCACCCAGTGACAACAGAGCGGTTACAACAGAGCGGTTATTGGGACGGCTAGGCGCTGCCGAACCCAGTACGGAATGAGTTTCATCGCCCAGGAGGCAGGATGGATCCCGATCGGCAACCCAGCTCTTCCGGAACGTCAAAAACATCATCAGCTATCATATTTAGTGGTTGGTGTTCAACCCAAGCGACGACCCTCGCGCCTGTTCCCACCAAGGGTATATTGTCCTCTCCTGACCGTTGTTATAGCAGAGAAAACGGCTTGGGTACTAAAATGTAGAACAATGTTACGTAGCCTGGAGCAGGCGACCAGGTATGTCACAGGAAGGTAGTTTATGAGCCAAACCTGGTAGACCACGCATTACTATGCGGCTGGCTACAGCAAATCATGCTTTTTCCGTCATTGCCGCACGACCGTGACCACCCACATCCGGTAGGTGGCTGCGACCAGCATGAGTGAGAATGTACTCGGTGATCGAAAAAGGCCACGATTCACTGTATTTCAAAGACCGATTCGAAGAACACCCTAAATGCCACCCCAGATCCGTGACCAATCGAGCGACTACCCCAGGCAGGGGCAGACTCTGGCGAACGAATGCCTGTAACGTAGCAGCCCGATGAAGTGCCGTGTCAAGGCGACGCACACATGCCCCTACTAATGACAGAAACGGTCAAAGTCATGACCCAACCAATCCGGTTGTAGCGTGACATCGGTACATCCCAGGACGACTTCTTCGCCCGTTCATCGGTGTGGCCGTTTCTGACAGAGAAAAAGAGGTTGCGACCGTAAGCGGGGGTTGCTAAGAAGGTGGAACAGCAAGGTTAGGACAACACCCAATATATGCAGAAATGAGGCACTGGCTTCTGCTTGGGTCACCACCAGCAGCAACACCACCGAAAGGAACAACAGTGACAAACATTAGTCTACTCCTGTAGGATGTATGGAGGCAACCTTGTTTTCCGTGTGCCACAACAGTCTGGGGGCGGAAATTGTGGTATCATGCTAACCTGCGTGTGGCGGATGTCACGTCCATGTGGGGTTTGGACACAATGGGAATACCTTGGGCAGCTTAGTCTAGGTGGAAGAGATGTGTGTTTTTCTCGGTCGAGCGGAGGGGAGGGCGGTTGAGAACAAATGCGACAAGCCGCGTCTGTCTGTACTCCCTAGAGAGAGAGAATAGCCGTAATACGAGCATCGAACTATAACAGCGTCGAAACCATTGGTCTTGGGGGTATACCTTGGTCTGGGTGAGCACCGCCTGCCGGCGCTGCAGCTGGTGCCGCTGCCCCTTTCTCGTTGCCGCGACCTGAAGGAGGGGTAGCGTGGCCCGCTCCCCCTTCCCCAACAACAGGCGACATCACCGGCGTGTACGCGCTCCTGATTCTTCGCCTGTACCCCTCCCTCATCCTCTCCATCTCCAGTTTGTCCTCCGCCAGCTCTTCCGGCGTCATCTTCCGGTTGGGCTCACATTCGACCTGGTCCCGAGGTTCGCGCCCCCCGTTCAACCGTTCGCCCGTCCAGAAAGCTTGCATGTTGTCCCAATAAATCATTGTGTCGATCATTCGTTCTTGTTCTTGTTGCTTTACCGAACAAGTGCAGATCGTGAAGTAGGCGAGTACAAGGGGCAGCGAACAGGTTCTCAAAACATTCATCACAGCAAACTCCTGCTAAGAGCACATCCGATGGTATCATGAAGCTTCTTCCTTCCTTCCACCATGACCCCGCGAAAATCGGCCCTGTGGCCCTGACTCCGTGTTGATGAAGCCACAATATTCCAGAGCGAAGTACGGTCAGCCAAGCGGTTACTGAAAACTTTCCATCGAATGTGCTCCGCAACAAAGTTCCACTGTACGCATTATCTGTTTCGTATCGGAAACGTTGTTTCTCGATTCCGACGAAAGTTGGTAGACACTCCATGCAACGAGCATTTCGGCACGATGTTGCGATGTGCAAAGAGAGTACCAAAGGCATGATGAAAACAGACACGATTGAAGTCAAGGAATGGACACAGATGAAAACACAGCAGCCGTGTCGCAAATTGTACAGCGGAAGAAATAGCGACTATCCTCAAGGTTGCGCGGGAAACTCGAAAGTTGAAAATGTGGACTCGAAACGTTCTGAAGAGAGAGGGCATAAACCATCCGTTTCTACCTTTCTCTCCCCCGACTGGGCACTCTCACCAAATTTGACAATCGCGCGCCCGCGTCACCCCCACCGAAGGTGGTGCGAGGATGGAGGGAGCGCCTGCAGCAAGCGCGACGGGGGATCCCTCGAAAGTGGAGTGGCGCAGCTCAGCACGGGGAGGGAGTTACCTCGACAGTGGACACGACGGCGACGGTCACGCGAGCGCGCGACCGGCCAACTTGGAGAGAAACATGAAGGTGTGCGGCTGTAGGCTCGGTTGGGGGAGAGACAGGCTGGGAATGGAGGATGGTGTATG